AGAGGGAGGAGACGGCTGGTAGTCCGGTTTCCTCTAAGGAAGGTGTCAACCTGGCACTCCCAGTTACTTAGGTCCTTAGTCAGCTGCACAGCTGTCCCCCGGCATGCTGCCCGCAACCCAGACCCTCAGAGTTTCAAGCCGCCCTTCTGGAAAGCAGAAGGTAAACAAGACAGAAGTGAAAGTAGATTTCATCTTTTACAGGAAGAGTTTTGTGGTTCTCAGCATTTAAATAGATACTGGTTCCAATATGTTTTATTGACATCAATTACTGGAAGTCTGATTCATTTTCTGCCTATTGATTTCTGCCCAAGGTGAAATTCATGACATTTCACCAAAAAGAGAAGTGATTTAAAAAAAAAGAAAACAAAACAGATGCTATTAAGGTTGGTAAGACAAGGTTTAAAACCAGTGACACGTGAAAAGGCCGTTTTATACCTGTGTTAGCAATGCTCTCCTGATGTGTGTAGAAATAAGGAAGGCTTCAATCGCTTGCTCTCATGATCCAAGAATTCCATTAGCATTCACATCCAAATTGGATTTGATGGCCCAAACGAATTGTATCTGCATTAAGGCTTTCCCGGAGTAGTGTGCCACAGCAATGTGCTTCCACGCATCTAAGGGAATCACACGTCACAGCTGGAAAAGAAGTTTGAGTACTGACTGGAAGTGAATCAAAAATAGCCATTCACCAGGAATACATGAAGTGGCTTTGTTTCTATAAATGATTCGGGGTCACGCTCAGTGACAGTGGCCCCCTTTTGCTATTTCTAAAGGTTCTGTGTTTTAATTGACAGGAACCCTGGTGGCACAGTGGTTAAGCATTCAGTTGCTAACTAAAAACACACTGTTGGAATCTGCAGTGGCTCTGTGGGAGAAAGATGGCAGCCTTGGGAGCCCTGTGGGACAGTTCTGCTGCCCCCAAGGACCGCTGCTGCGGGTCAGGATGGATTAGGTGAGGGCCACGGACTGGACTTGGGTATGTCAGTGCTGGGGGCCAGAGAGCGTCTAAAAGTGCACCCAAGGACCATGCTCAGTCTCAGCTAAGCTTCCAGAAGCTGGCTCACCCTGAAGGACTCACTCTGCATACACATAATTGTTCTCGTTGTGGTTGTGAGTGCGTTATCTGTCAACCTTGCCCAGACCCGTGTAGGCACTGACCCAACACCCGCCCTCAGGACCCAGCATAGCCTGTCGCCCTTCAGTGCTGTCCAGTTGTGTTCTTTCCTTCCTCCCTTACTCTGCCTTCGAGCTGTGTGTCACAGACGCTTCCAGCATGCTGCGGTTTTAAAACTGGTTAGCTAATCTTGCTTGTTGATTTCCATTTTTTCTCTGTTCACTGAGCATTGTAGCCCATCTTCAAAATTCACAATGTTGCACGCACAACACATTGCATAATGGCTCTATGAATGTAGGGGGAAATAATAAAAATAATATCCTGTGGTTTGGGCAATCAATTTGATCATCCCATTAACTTGCACAGGCCAAAGACGCCACACTGCTTTTGACTTCAAAGGCCTTTAACCTCTGGCTTGGATGGTGTGTGCATTTTACAGGGTGGACCTGGTTACTGAGCAATGTTGTGCTCTCCTAATTCATGATTATGGGATTTATAAGTAACAGGATTTGTGCAACCCTCACTGATTTGAAGATACGTTTCCTAATGGTTTTGTCCCAGCCACCACTCCCTCCTGCTTCTACACACTTTTCTGGTCAGAGAGCTGCCAGCTTCCGGGCCAGCATCCGGGTGCTCAGTTGGAGCATTTGAAGTGGCTGCTCCCCTGTATCTCTGCCCAGTAGCTTGTATCAGATACCAGGTGACTGTTGGGACCGTCCCCTGAGACAGCCCTCTGAGAAATGGGCTGAGGGGGGCGGACAGGGAGGTAGTTGCTAAGGGGCACGGACGGGGCCTTAGTTCATTGCGGCAGTAGTGAGAGTAAGTCACCACCGGGGAAACCAGAGGCCACTGTTGGAACCATCACAAAACAGTGGTTCCTGCTTTGAATCATTTTATGAACTCTTTCCGTGATACTTTATCTGCAGTCTGTGTGGCCCAACCCTAAAGCAAATAGTAATGCTAATTAAATCCAACACCATCTGTTTTGTAACACGATGTGGAAGAAATAGGATTTGATGCAACATTTGCCCAAGAGTTTCCCTTTCAGGTCCATCTCTGGCTTCTAAAATGATCCATGTGACGACTGAGCTTCAGGGAACCTCTAGTGTCGTTACTTAAGGTGACAGCATTGTGTGGGAGGGCCAGGAAGGGACGGGTGTGCACTCCTCAGCAGGCACCCCACTGCATGGCGGCTCACCCGCCTAAGGAGGAGAACAAGGTCTTTAAACCCGAATCCTCCCCGTGTCTAACTTAGGGATATGCTGAATTTAAACATGAAGATGTTTCTGCAGCTGGACTGGCTCTTTGTGTCTGTGTTTTGAAGAAAAATAGAAATCTGACATTGAAAATGAATCAGCTTTTCGTCCCCATGTGACTTTTTGCTAATTGGATTTTAGAGGTCTTTGGGTCTGGAACAATGAGCTTTCCTGAAAATGCTCACATCCACCCCCGCGGCCCGTTCCCCTTCCGTGTTAGAGTTGCAGTCCTGGCGGGGTCCTTTGTTTTCTGCCATGAGCAGGGGCGGATGGGAAATTGTAGCTTCAGAGATGATCCCACCAGTGTTGGCTTCTGCCCCACTCACTTCCTCGCCTCTCTGAAGAGCTCCAGCTTAGCAGATGTTTTGTTTAAACTTTAGCGAGCAATTATACATCTTGCTAGCCAAGCTGTCGTTTTAGAAGAACTTGCTTCCTCTCCCCAGCTGGAAAATGGCTTCCGATAGAGATGAAGTCCATCATTTGGGGGGCCCAGTGCCTGCCTATCCAATGAGTGCAGGTGGACTTTAGACTATTTCCTGTCACCTGTAACCAGTCTTTGTCATGTCTATCGGGTCTTGTCTCTGAGAGAGACAGGTGTTTGACATCTTATATAGACTATCTAGTGTACCCGAATTGGATGGTTCTTGAAATAGTGGTGTTCCAGGGCAGCCCCAGGACTGTCACAGGGTCAGAGATTTTTAAATTAAGCTTACACACACACATCTGTAGTTTTTAATGATGGTTGTATTATTTTCGACATGAACTTTGAAATATAATGTATAAATAATAAAATATGTCCATTTTAAGTAATTTAGTCCACAGAATTTGACAAACAGCTACACCCACAAAACCACCAATACAATGAAGGTACCAAACATTTTCATCATTCCCCAAAATTCCCTTGTGCCCCTGGTCTCAGTGCCATCCCCACTGCCACCCTCGTACACTGTCTGCAGCATTGTGACGCACACTTGATGGGCCCTGTCCTCATGCCAGGAGATTTCCTGGAATTATTATTACAGTGTTCTCTTCTCTTCTGCTTAGCTTTGACTTTTTGTGGAGAAGGGGACCTGGACTTCGGGAAGATTTCTTCTACTTTATCTTCTGGCGCATCCATTGAGCTCATCATTTCTACTAACATGTTTTTAAGCTCTAAGAGATATTTTTGCTTATTTTCTGGGATATCCTGTGCTTGATTCATGGATACAAGGGCTTTTCTTATCTTTCTGAATAGACTCGTAATAGGTGTTTTGTTGTTCTAAAGGCTTTCTTCACTGTGTAGTTGGTTTCAAGGGCTTTTCTTCCCCTTTTATTTTGTTTGTCCCTCTTGCAGCCCTGTAGTGGGAGGCCTGGGCATGGTGGTGGCTGGGAGTTCAGGCTGATTGGGAGCTCTGAGCTTGCTTGGTAACCCTGAGCTGGCCACAGGCCCCTGGTGGATTGTGAAGTGCACACCGTGGCGAACAGATCTTCTGGTCTCTGCCTGGACAGCGAAGGTCTGGCCACCAGTGTACGTACCTGTTAGGACAAAGGACTCGGGTCTCGCTTAAACCCCAACCCCACCCCACCCCCGTCGCTGATGTGGCACTCACACTAGCCATTGTGCCAGTCTCCAAGTGTAGAGTTTCCAGAGACCACACCTCCACGGTTCTGCAGAAGTGAGAGGTGGGGAGAGGACAGGCACCCAGCAGCTGGGATTAGGGGAGGAGGGGCCTGTTCGTGGACAGCTCAACCGACCCTGCAGTGGGTCTGCCTTCCCTCAGGACGTGTGTGTGTGTGTGTGTGTGTGTGTGTGTGTGTGTGTGTGTCATCTTGGAGGATCCTGAGGTGTACAACATTCGGTCGGTTCTTACTGTTCCCCACTGTGGACTCGTAATGGGTGTCCTCAGCTCTCCCGACTCCTTTCAACCCGCCTGCTTTCCCACTTACCAGGTTCTGCTGCTGTTGTGGTTGCTCCCCATCTCCTGTTCGGGGCTTAATGAGGGAACAGTAGAAGGGACAAAACGCCTGTAATGCAATCCCCATCCATGGTATTTGGGTAGAGAGTCAAGTTAGCCAAAATCCAGTGCAGCCTCCGTCTCCAGACACCAGGCAGGTCTTCTGTGAACCCAGACTCGTCCTCCTCCTGACTTAACAATGGAGTGTCCCTTAACAATGGAATAACCCTCTCCTGGGATAGCAGTGCGATGGTTTGAGGGCATCAAAGTGTGTTTGATCTGCTCAGAATAACTTCCGATCTGGAGCTCCTAGGCCTGGTGTTTACGGTCTTTCACAGGTGTCCCCTGGGTGCCTACCTTCCCTCCCGCCTTGGCCCATGCAAGATGGTGCACCAGCCCCAGGCCACTCCTTTCAGGTGGGCCTTGCCCTCCCTTGCCATCTCTGTCCTCAGGCACACAACTCCCTCCTCCCCAGTTGTGAGGCCCTTGTCTAATCTTCACCCCGCTCTTGTGGGTGGCCCTGTCTGTACTTAGGCCTTTGGACATACGCCTGAATTGCCACCCCACCAGTTATCAGATCTGGGGCTGCTCCGGAGCCTGACATGGAGCAGAGCCTCAGATTAACATTTGAATGACTCTGATGTGGGAGATCTCAAAAGAAAACTCTTTATCCTTTTTTTTTTTTTTTTCCTGTAGGATATCCGACATGAAGCCAGTGACTTCCCATGTAAAGTGGCCAAGCTTCCTAAAAACAAAAACCGAAACAGGTACAGAGATGTCAGTCCCTGTAAGTATTCAAAGCACCATCAGGGGCTTGGGGGTGGGGCAGGGCTAATATCCATAGTGGGTGGGCCTGTTGAGCCACGCCTCCCAGGCTCCCCTGGGTTTGTGAATAAATCACTAATAGCCTCGCCTTAGGACTTGATGGTTTCCTATATTAAAGAAAGATATTAGAGACTTACAAGTAATGGTTCCTTTCTCCCCTATTGTAGAAGGGGTATGGTTTCCGTGTCTGGAAAATACAGCTGAGTTCAAAGCACCTTTTTTTAGCTTTGACTATATATTTTTGTGATGAATCATTTTCCTACCAGCTGAAGCCGAGTCCACCGCGAGCATGCTAGAACCTTTTCTCAGTGACTCAGCACTGGTATTAATTGGCCCAAGGCATCATAAAGCGTGAGGCCCTGGGAGCCCACTATAGGGAGGGAACTGGTCACCTCTCCTAAAACCTCGAGGCAGCTCCACTTCCACTTGCCTGGTGTCTGCTGACCCCCGCAACAGCCTCCACCTTAGGAGGGACCAGCTTCCGGTCTGGGGACCACCTAGAAAGTTGCTAACTGGCAGTACCCAGATGAGAGGCAGGAGAGGCTGGACCAAGGGGTGGGGGACGTGGGGGAGCACCTGACTTGCTCTAGTCCTTAGCCGTTAGATCTTCACCCTGTTCTATTCCCCAACCAAAGAGGAATTGGAGCTGCTGAATTTCCCAAATTCTTGGCTGAGACATCGAAGATAGAACCATCGGTTGCTCTATTCAGGCCCTGGCTGGGCACCTCCGGGAGAGGTGACCTCAGTGCTCCTTGAGGCAGAGTGGGCTGTGCCGGGGACCATTCTTGGGGGCCAGAAAAGTTTGCACTCCCGAGCACTGCAGTACTCTCTTTTGAGGTTTGCAGTTCAGCTCCACCACTTTGGGGAAGTTGTTCTCTGACCTTCAGCCACGCGGGACCACACCTGTCCCATCAGATGGGCTGTGTAAAGATGACATAAGAGAAGCCCAAACCCACTGTCAGCGAGTTGACTCAGGCTCAGAGCCACCTTGTAGGACAGGAAAGAACTGCCCTTTATGGGAACAGACTACCCCTTCAGTTACTAGCTAGTCACTAAGTGCTGGCCCAGGTGGATTGTTGTTTGATGGCGGCCACACCAGGAAGGCCTGGGGTGCTTTTATGGGATAGGGCTGCTCTGCTGGTACTCAAAGTCAGCCAGACTGGACAGAGCCCCTCCCAGGTGTTTAAAGAATTTTTTTTAACGCAAGGCCTTGGGTGATTCTACTGTGAGGTCTCCCCAGAAACGTGTGGCATCCAGATCTGAGCTGGAAAGAACATCCCCTGTCCGTACACACCCCCACCCCCACCTCCCAGTGCCTGGAGAAACCCTGGGCTCCAACCTCTCCCTTACTCTCCAGTAAAGGATGTGATATGCTGTCAGGCTCTGGGACAATGGAGGGGTGTGGGAGGAGGGGGCGATTCAAAGTAGAGGAGGCTCTCATGTCCAAGTGATTGTAATGCTGGTGGGACAGTAATGGCAGCCGCCAATGTTGGGTACTTGCAGATACCAGGCACTGAGCTGGGCATTTTACATATCCTCTCACTGAATCTTCCGCCAGCCCTGACCTCTTCCATCTGGCATGGAAAACTAAGGCTCAGAGGCCAAGTCGCTTCCATCATAGTCACCCACTCACAGCCCACCAGCGCCAGTCACCCAGGTTGTTGGGGATCTTTTTATCTCCGTAGTACATTTCAGTTCTACCTGAGTAGCGGCCCATCGTATGAACTCTTCCACAAGGAGAAACATTGTTCTAAATGTGGTGGCGGGGTTTGAAAAGCATCTCTCATTAGAGTTCATCTGTAGAGCAGAAAACCCCCAACAGCTCTTCCCATTCACTTCTCTCCCCTTGGGCTGGAGGAAGCCTTCTTTGTGGTGGGCGCCAGAGCTCAGCCGCCCTTGTGCTGAGCCCACCTGCTGCTGACAGCTGCACTGACCGGAAGAGGGCGTGCCCCTCCAGGAACCCCTGCTGGGCTTATGGCATAGGGATGGCTTCAGGGACCCAGAATCTAGCTGTCCTTGCTTAGTGACTGGGGCAGAACTTCTAAATGAGAGTTTGTTTCTGAAATTATTCCAGAAGTTACATTTAGTATATCCATACTTATCAGAGGTTTTGGATTAAAACACCTTCGATGGTGACAGGTTCTGAATTTAAAAGATTTAGAGCCAGCTACTAACGGAAAAATTAATGATTCGAGGCCACTAGCTGCTCTGCAGAAGAAAGACTTAAGCAGTCTGTTCCCATAAAGATTACAGGCTAGGAAACCTGATGGGCGGATTCTACTTGGTTCTAGAGGGTCACTCTGAGTCAGAATCGATTTGGCAGCACACAGCTGTGAGCAACACGTTCGTTGTACTTGCGCTATAGAGAAATTCGTGGGAAGGAGTTTGAGATGCATCTTCCAACACCAGCCGTGGATAGGCTGAAGGGTGATTGGAAACCATTGTGCTGAATAGCGCTGAGGGGGCTGGATGTTTGTTGGATTTTGTTCCCCTTTAAAGATTGAAGCTATTAATTTTTGGATTTTACAAAAGCATATCCATGTACACCTTCCTTAATGACTTCATCTCATTACTCAATGTTTTGCATTTATGACAATAGTAAAAAATGTACTATCAGACAATTTTGTGTAGTGTAGACGTACATACAGCTGCTGGTAAGAGACACCAAGATGTGAGGTGCGTGTCGCGCTGCCTGTTAGGTTAAGGTTATGTGCCGGACGGACCATGGTTCTCAGTGGTTTGGCAGTTATGTAGTGATCTAATTTGAGTTACGCAGTGATGTGATCGTTTTGGCCTTTGGAAACTAACCATGTCGATGCGTGAGGATTGGGTGTGTTGGCCATCAGGGAATGGATCCCTTGGTTCCCCTGGCCTACCTGGGAGGCGGGAGAGATAACAGGCATTAAGGGAAGATAGGCCCTAAGAATTAATTTCCCAAATAAGATACATTTTGTTGTAATAAAGTTTATCCGCGTTATTATTTACTGTAAAATTTTAAGCACATCCAAAAAAACCTTTCTGTTTTTATCTCATCAGTCATATTTGATCTTCTGAGTTACCAGCCATCAATCATCACATTGATGGCCTCAGCCCCCACGGACGCCCTGATGACCGACATAACGCCTTCGTCCTGCCAGCTCTTGGACCCCCAGGATTAACCTCTGAGTTCTGGTTTGCCTTTCAGTTGACCACAGTCGGATTAAGCTGCACCACGAAGATAACGACTATATCAATGCTAGCTTGATCAGGATGGAGGAAGCCCAGCGGAGTTACATTCTCACCCAGGTAAATGGGTGGTTCTGATTCCTGAGAGAGTTTCGCTTCCTTCCACACAACTGAAGTTGTCCGCCACATCTTCTGGAGTGTTGGGTTTTAAACAGACAAAAAGCCGACCAAAGAATGTTCTGTTTGTTGATGACATGAATCTGGGAAGAGGCATTGCTGGGAACCACAGCACCAAGAAAAACAGCATGAAAATGCCACAAGTGCCTGTGGTCTGCGGACGGAGGAGGCCAAGCCACTGCCGCCTCTCCCCTACAGAGGCTGCAAATACTCCCCTGCCAGTCACAGGCTTCTCACACTAAAGCTGGGAGCGCCGAGGTAGCACCTTTGTCCCATTCTCTTTCCGAGTGTCTGTTGTGTTCTCGGCACCTGTCGGAATGGCCCAGGAAAGGCTTGCATGGCAAGTGTGAATTTGAGAGAGTGCTTAACCTTCTCTGGGCCGCGGATGCCTTTCGGAGGGAAGAAGCAGAAGAACGGTGCAGTCGGTGGCCCTCTTGTGCACACCTACTGGCTGGAGACCCAGAGACCACAGGCACCTGTCAGAGAGGAAGGACTTCCCTCCTTCCTTCGTTTCCTCCAGTCTAATCTGTTACCTACAGATGGAGCGGAACCCTCTCCATTTCCCTTTTTTCCAAATCAGAAGTTTTTATTTTCTCCTTCATGTAGTTTGTTAATCTTATACAGACATCTTTAAGTTCTAGGGTGCTTCTGAGCACATATTTCTGTTTCATAGTTGCATTTTAAAATCAGAGGGGAGCCTGAAATGACTGTGAACCCAGGCCAATTTGGGGTGGGAGCTCGGTTGGGGGGTGTCCACCACAGCCTCTCTTACTGCCTCTTGGGTCCTGTCCCTGTCCCTTCATAAGCAGCCTCACTGGGCCCCGTCTGGTTCTTAGTAGAAAATGCAGATCAGGCCTTCATTAGGCCTCGGCTTCCGGACCTCCCAGGCTGAGTCTACACTCATTCCCGGGTCCAGCACACAGCTGTGCTTGTTGCCAGGTGGGCTGAAGGAAGTTCGTGCCGCTCGGCCAGCCCTCTACCGGGCCTTGGCGACACTGTTCCCGCAGGGCCCTAATTCACGTCACATGTGTCTGTGTCTACATGCCTCGCTCCAAGGAGCGAGACTGGCTGAGGCCAGCTGCCAGGTAATGGGCTAAGTTCTTGGTCTGAATGATCACAGTTAACTTGCACAACCGACTGAGTGGTCCCGTGGCACAGCTGAGGCACGGAGGCAAAAGGATTTTTCCAGGGTCACACAGATGACAGTGGATCTGGGACTCAGATCCCCAGGTGCATCCTATCACTTTCTCCTCACTGCTTCCTGCCTACACCCACCAGTGGGCTTGGGCACCCCGGTAAGTCCGTGGGACCCAGGGGCCTGTCAACTGCCCACATGCCCTGGTGTGCGCTGCTTGGGTCACACGTGCTCTCATCGTCTGTTTGCAGGGCCCTCTGCCAAACACGTGCGGGCACTTTTGGGAGATGGTGTGGGAGCAGAAGAGCAGGGGCGTGGTCATGCTCAACAGAGTGATGGAGAAGGGCTCGGTGAGTGGGCTTGTTACTTTCGGGGTTGCCATCCATCCGTCCGTCTGTCTGCCCTCCCACAAACCCACCATGAAGCGAACACTCTCCATGTTTCTTTATTGCTGTTAGTGGACGCTCTTGTTTTTTTAATATAAAAAATGTCAGCAGCATATCAGGGGACTCTAAAAAGTTGATACAAAACATGAACTTGGGAAGATTACAGAAGTTACCCACAAATTTTTTGAAGTCCTTTCTTATAAAACATCTGTCTATAAATCTGTGTTTGTTATAAATAAGTCAGATATAGTGAAGAAGGGAGGAAAAGGTACAGGTTGCCCTTGACCACCCCCTACCCACACCCCAGGTCATCCCTCTCCAGAGTCTGGGCAGTCCGCTCCCTTGTACTCTGGTCTGTGGCCTCTGGGCCTCTGTCTCACATGTGGTGTAAAGCAGTCTTTATGTGGAAGCAGCTCCCTTGGCTACAGAGAGGAGTGTGCCCCTGTTGACTGCAGAGGGCGCTGCGGTGCTTCTCCCTGGCCACGTCTCATTAGTGTGGACTCTGCCCATGCAAATGCTACAGAATGAGAGGGGCTCTTTCTTTCTCCCACATTCTGTGCAACTTTCAGAACCTCCCTGGGACAGCCCACTGGCTAGATGGGGCCACACGGTTGCTCTGGCCACCACCCAGTGTCCCTGTAGCAGCCCTCACACACCCCATCCCCACCTCTTCACTTGTTCCCCTCAGTCCAATTTTGTACCCTGTTTCCAGATTGGCCCTTCTAAACTGAGGCTCACCACACACACCCCGCCAGCTGAACAACCTCCTGTTCCCTGGTCTTACAGGATGAGGCTTTGTGGGGCTTACAGGGAAGGCTGACATAGTCTAGGCTCGCTGGCTCCACGCCCTACTGTCACCACCTTGCAGCAAGACAAAGTGTTTTTTCTTCTCTTACCATGTTCTCTGAGTCACCACGCCCACTCCCAGGTGTCCCCAGCCTGCAGCTGGCACCTGCCTTCCAGTGCTTCTCACTCTGGGCCCGAATGTCTACGAAAGTCTCTCCCCCCGGGGACACTACACCTGCGTAGCATGTGTAGCAGTCCACAGAGTGGACAGAAGCTTGTGCCCACCTCCTCCCCTCCAGACACTGCAGCACTCCTGGCCCCAGGCTCTCCAGGTCAGAGGAGGAGGAAGAGCATTTGGCCCAGGGGTCCCCAGGCCTTGCTAGGTGCAGGCACCTCGATCCCTGGGCTCAGCTGCCCTGGCCACCTCTGACCACACACTCAGCCTGCCAGGAGGCCGTCAGGAGTCCCTAGAAACCACCTGTCCAGAGAAAGCAGTCAGGCCCTAGAGCAGTGGTTCTCAACCTTCCTAATGCCGTGACCATTCAATACAGTTCCTCATGTTGTGGTGATACCCCAACCATAAAATCATTTTCGTTGCTACTTCATCACTGTAATTTTGCTACTGTTATGAATCGGGTGGTTCGACCCCCAAAGGGGTCGTGACCCACAGGTTGAGAACCGCTGCCCTAGAGGGTTAAAACCCCCAAATGCAAAGAAGTAACACATCCAAGGAAGCTCTCACAGTGGAAACAGAACCACCGAGCCTCTTCCCTGCACCCACAAAAGCACCCACAAATGGGTGTCCACTCTCACCTTCTGCTGCTGCCCACTTTGTAAAACTGTAAATATTGGTGTAGCAGGTGAGGCACGTGTGTGAATACTCAAACTGGTGACCTGATTCCTCTGATCACAAAAGAAACCTTTTTTTTTTTTGCAGTGAAAGTGGTCTCTAAGTGTTTTTCTCTCGACTTTGGTGGCTCAATGAGTAAAATGTAAAGTTACAAAGTATGCAGCCAACCCCCAGCTCTCGCTGCTCCTGTCAGCACTTTTGACTAAACAACACAGGTGGCTCCCAACAGGCACCTTCCCATCAAGAACATTGGAAACTGGAACGCTAGGGCCGGGCGAGTACAGACTAACAAAGCAGACTGGTCCCCTGGCGTCCAGTCATAAAGGACAGAGACTAAACTCGAGCCCTGAGCTGAACAGCGAAGTGTCCTGCTAACTTTGAGTCAGACTTTCTCAACCAACCCAGATCTTTGAGAGTTGACTTGTTTTAGAGGAAAATTCAAGTAGAAACACTGAAGTTGTCTTTTCGTCAAAACCATAGCAGTGGGCCGCAAGCCTTCTCTGAACATGAACTTGTAGTTGGCAGCAGCCCTCAATGCGAAAGTATCCGTATGCTGCCTCTTCTGTTCTTGCCATTGACGAGCGCCTGCTTTGGGTAGGGTCAGATGCCTGCACTCGGTATGCCAGGCTGTCAGACTGCTTTGAAGTGGTACATAGCTGGTTCCACTTTGTAGAGGACAGGAAAGAGACCAGACCAAACCCACCTTACCTCCCTGAGACTCCCCGTCACCAGGGCAGGGAACCAGGGCACTGCTGGGGTTGCAAGACCACGTGCAGCCCTATTGAGAGCTTCACAACCCCTTTTCCCCACCCCCCAGCCCCTCCAGGAGATTTGTCGGTGCACTGGAAGTGACTTCCAGGTTTGGAAGACCCTGGGCCTCTGTGTTACCATGGCACTGGGGAATGTGTTCTCTCAGGAGAACAACTGGCTGCTCACAGTAATTCACTGTTATTTCCACCTCCAGTTAAAATGTGCACAGTACTGGCCACAGAGGGAAGAAAAAGAAATGATCTTTGAAGACACAAACTTGAAGTTAACCTTGATCTCGGAAGATATTAAGTCCTATTACACAGTACGGCAACTAGAATTGGAGAACATCACAGTAAGTATGTCTTGAGCTTTAAGCACACCGGACGGTGGCTTTTTCTCTTGTGCGACGGCTGACTTGGGACATGCCGTCCAAGTTTCATGTGTCCTAGGCAAAGTAACAACTTTGGCGCTGTGGCCCACTAAGCACAGACCAGTGGCACCTGGAAAGGGACATTTTTCTCCATAGAGCTCTGGCTCAACTCTTAACAGTACCAATTCTCGGGAAGGAAAGGAAAGACTGAAAGTGACCTCTTCCTGCCCTCGAGGTAGAGGAATTGCAGACCGGCCGGTGAGAGAGAGACGTCAGCGGAGAGGCATCTGCTGCTGTCGCTCTCAGCCTCCTTGGCTGGAGCACAGGACAAGGGCCCTCCGAGGCTGGCTCCTGTGCCACAGCCAGCAGACGTCTTCTAGGGAGGTCTCTGGGTGTTTTTATGTGGAAAGAATTTCCAGTCCCAGCTGCTTGACAACAGCCTGTCATTAAAAGACAGCCTTTGGTTCTTATCAAAATGGGGGAAATGCAGAGCAGCATTTTGGATTTTCATGGCCTCCAGATTTTCTAGGGCCATAGAGGCTGGATGAAGCCCAAGACTCTTGCCCTGAGATGATCTGTAAACCTTAAATCAAGGTGTCTTTGGAAGTCTTCTTCAAACCTTGGATTGCCTTACCTACAAAAGGACATCTGCCTGGAGTATGATGCTCTATAACGTCTGTCAGTTTGGTCTACACGGGATCAAACCGACAACAGCAATGT